CCGTAGATTCAAACTTTTGTGCATGAATGTCAGATTTGTCAATAAGCCAAGATTGAACAAGCATTACCAACTTGGTTACTTCAACCCTTACCTATCCCTCATCTTGCTCGGGATGATGTTGCAATGAATTTCATAACTAATTTGTCTATTTCTCATGGATTCTCTCCAATTAAGGTAGTGGTGGATAAACTTGCTAAATTTGGTAAATTTATTCCATTGAAGGTTGAGTACACTTATAAAATAGTGGTTGAAACTATCAGTAACAGTATTGTGAAACTCTATGGTGTTTAAGATCTATTGTATTTGATCGTGATATATTTTTGTTAGTTTATTTTGGCAACATTATTTCAAGGATCAAGGTTCCACCTTAGCCATGAGTTCCTTATATAATGACTACCAAAAAATGTTTTAAAGAAGCCCTTAGAAATATATTTTAGGTGCTTTGTTTTTTATAATCCTAATAGGTGATATTAAATGTTTCCATAAGTTCAATTTTTGTATAAATCATCCTCACATCAAAATATAGGAATGTTTCCATTAAAGGCTTTATATAATTGTGACCCATTATGGTGTTTGTTCAAGAGACTCTTTGCGTTAGAGATGTATTGTTGCAACAACTTAGAGCCAATTTGATGAAGCTCAAACATTACATGAAACAACACGCATATAAATAGAGAAGGGATTTATAGTTTGCAATTAGAGATTTAGTGTTGGTAAAGTTACAACCTTACCAACAACATTTAGATGCTTTGAAAAATAACCATGAACTTAGTAAGAATTGGAGTTGTTGCTTACAAGCTTAAGTTATGTGATACAAGAGGATACATCATTTATTTAATGTTTCCTTACTTAAAGGATAGAAATACATACTTTCACTTGCTTTAACCACTTATGCAGTGGCGGATCTTGACCATTGATCTTGGGGGGGCCAAATAATATATTATTAATAAATATAAAAGGAAGAAAGAAGGGTAAAATGATAAAATTGTAAATATATACTTAAATATATTAAATGATCATTAAGTTAGAGAGAGACAAAATCATAAATTATATAAGAGTTATACAACTGAAGAGGGGCTGAGAGGATAAAATTGTAAATATACAAGTAAATATATTAAATGTTAATTAAGTTTGGGAGGAGGCCAAAATCATAAATTACATGGGAGTTACAAAACTTTGGGGGGGTCACGGCCCCCCTCAGCTCCCAAGAAGATCCGCCACTGCACTTATGAATTTGGTTTCGTAGTACATCCATCTAAAAGCTTTGGATTCTCACATTATTATCAAATAAATTTGAATCCCTCAGGTTTTAATACAAGGACATTCATTGGATTCATATGCTATTACCTATTACCTAGAAAATTTTGGAAGAACTATAAGAATCATTAACTCACCTCAACTTTGAGGATAAAATTATTTTCCATGGAGGAAGTATCGTAATGTGTGAACAAAATAACAATATTGAAAATGTGCAATTCAAGGAAAATGATAAGTTGAAACTAAAAGAAAAGTTAGTTATGTTAAATGACTCTGTGGCAAATTATCCAAATGATAAGAAAAACACAAGGGAAAAACAAAAGGAAATGAGTGTTTTATTGAAAGATCACGTGAGATGAAGGGATTATCCATGTGGTATGTTTAATTTTAAGTATCTTTTTGTCATTGTCTCTAATTTATTACATATTTTTTATTTTCCTTCCAACTTTAATGAAATGTTCTTTATTTCTTTATTAAATAATTATTCATAATATATAAAACTGTCAAAATGGATGGTCCGACTGACCTGAGTTTGACCTAGTCATATGGACTAAAAAAATTTGATAGTCTAGTTCGACCCTATGTTAGGTTAACATGCTAACACGTTAATTTTGACCTAATTAAAAAAAATATTAACATATATATACTAAAATAATTCATTAAAAAATATTTAAATAAAAATAAAAAATAAAAATATATTTTTAAATTTAAAATTATATTAATAAAAATAATTTTATTTAAAATATAATTATTTAATATATAAATTATAAGATAACGAATCCATTCAATCTCAAATAAAAGTTAAAAACTTCTCACTATCATAAATTATTTTTTAATATTTTATTGATCTAAAATAATAATTAATCTTATCCACTAGACATTTACTCTAATATTTACTTTTAAAATGAATGAATATCTTGTCATATTAATTTATAATCCATATTTTTTAATAAAATAATATTATTTTTATTTTTATTTAAAACATAATTATTATTCTATAAAATGAATTGCCCTACAAACTTGCGAACTAATTTGACTTAAATCCACGTAAATCATGATCTAAACGAACGGGGTCAAAATAAACCTGATTCAATTTAGATTAAAAACTTTTTAGTCTATTTTATCTTATTTATTGATATTTAGACTCAGTTCAAGATTAAGTCAATTTGATACTGCTAATACTATATTACAATAACCAATTAAAATTTAAAATTTTTATTAGCTTTAAATTTTTTAAAATCTATAAATGTTTAAAGCATTTTTTTAATTTATAATTAGCTAACTCAATTAATAGCTGGTTCACGATAGAAATTACGAAGTCAGCGCCAATATTCGATAATATGGTGTGCTGCTTATGAAAAGTTTAAGTTTAGAATGCTTTACTTTTCTTAGGAAAAGTATTTAATTGATTAAGAAATCAATGGTTGAGGTAAGTTAATAAGGAACTATCAAGATTTAGTTAAAAAAAAAAAAAAACTGAAATATTTTGGGATGATACATTAGATATGCATGATGAACATAACACATGAGGGAAACCAAATTCATATGCTCCAATACTCCAATATTCCAAATATATACATTTCAAATTATCTATGTGGAGAGAGAATAATAGTAATGAAGTGTAAATCTTTAAAACTAAACTTGTGTAATTTCTAATTTTCTTAAGAAAATAACAGTAATTTAAAGTATATCCTAAAAAAGTATTTAATGAAGAAACAATTAGAAAATATTTAATGAAAAAAAAAATTTAGAGGAAAAATGGTAATAATATCTATGAGGTGATGTTAGATGAACTCATACCTCTTTTGTAATTTTATAGTTTTTTAAAAGAATGTTCTCCTTTATATTGAAAAATGAATCAACCTCTCTTATTTTATTAAAAATATTATATTGACTAAAACTTGAATATATATATATATATATATATATATATATATATATATATATATATATAAATTAAAAATTGAAGTTTTATAATATGAAAAAATATATAAATAGTTTCATTATTGTATATTAAAAATATCATAAAAATTATAAATATCTTATAAAAATATAAAAAAGTTATATATTTTGATTTTTTTAATATATCATAAACAAACAGGTATAAAATATATAGTTAAATTTATCAACTTACTCTTATATTTAGGTATGAAAATATAAACATAAATTAAATAAGAACTACGAATGTTATTTTAATGATAATATTAGAAATGTGAATATTTTAAAATAACTTTAAGTTTTTTCTGTTGTAAGAATTGTTCCAACCTCATGTGTGTGAATGTTATTTAAGAAGATTTTAAGAAAGATGTGAGCAATTTTCATATAATTAATCCATTCCATTTTTTATTTCTAAAAAAATATTTAATATTAACATTTTATAAAATATTGAATAAATATTAAAATACTTGATAATTTTATTACAATATTTATATATCTGATAAAAAAAATTATGATATTACCTTCATAATAAAAATTACAACAAAAGAAATTAAAAATAAATATGATACAATTATTTAGTTTAAAAAATAATTATTTTAATTTAAAAATATTTACTTATCAAGAAATTTAAAAAAATTAGAATTCTTGACTTAAATTTATGTCATATATTATAATTTAATTAATTATCTTTATCTTTTATATGGAATTTTTGACATTTCATGACTTAAAGAGGTTAGGATTTGTGTGGGTAGTTTGAAACATGAAGAGTGCAAAGATTGTAAAATAAATAAACCATAAAGATAATAAATATAAGTAGAAAGTAAAGTTTTTTTTTAATTAAATGAAACAAAATGGAAATAAAATATTTTTATTAATAATGTTTTATTATTATTTTTTAATGACTTAAAGTTAACATAATAATTACTATAATTGATTATGGTTAATTTTATTTTTCATTATGCAGAAAGTTTCTTTACTTTTCAATTATAATTGACTTGTGTGATTGTTTTGTCTCGATTTTAATCTTTTCTAGTTAAATATGTTGAAAAAAAACTTATACACACATTAAAAATCTTTAGTGTTTTTGTCTTTGAACACAGTTCATACAAAACAAACAGTGTTTTGTTATTTGGTTTAATGTTAGTTGAATTTATGTGTTTTAAACACATAACAAAATCATTACAAATATTAAAAATAGATAAAAATTATTATTATTGACATGTAATAATCTAATTATGCTCCACAACCCTATGATTTAGATGTAAAATGCATGAATCTAACATTCATGGGAAAAATAATTTAGTTCGGTTGTAGATTATACTAGAAAAATTTAATGAAAAAATTTACAAAATACTATACTAAATAACACATTCATGGTAAATGTGTGAAAATTTATTTGATATACTTAATTAAAATCAATTTAAACTTGTTTTCTCTTCTATTATAAAATCAACTTGCACATAACTACTTGCATAATATAGTTTAATAATTTAATTTCTATGCAAAATAAATTTACACAGAAAACTAATAAAAATAATTATTGTTGTTATAACCAAACAGATTCTACATGTTATTATAATTATAAATGAACTACTATTTTAGTAACATAATTTTAGGAGAAAGCATTGAAAAAACATAGATTCATTCATTTTTTTTAAGTAGTCAGTCTAGTGATACCTACTCATTGCTTGCTACACCAAGCTGAATAAAATTTGATTGATTTATAAGTCCTGTTAGCTAAAAAAGAATCCATACTGTTCAATCTAAACTGTTCAGCAGACTCAACTGAACGGTCTGTCACTGGCTCAGAGTCCATACTGAGAATTGTGAAGCAGAATGAGCTTTAAACCGCTGGCAGATCTCTTCGACGGTTTGCACAAAGGCGCACAACAATATTTCTCCCTTAAAACTAGGTCGTCCTGGCAAGACCAAGTCTGTCCCCGAGGAGAGCTATTGGTCCACAGGAACCTCTCAGAGAATGGGTTCACTAGACTCTGACGAAACTCTTGCACTGGCTCACATAGCAAACCCTGAAGCAGTAACAGAAGAATGATGTATGTCAAAAGTTAAAGAAAATACCAGAGAGCAGAGTAATATGAGATAATAACTTTTGATACCTCTGCCATGCATTTGATTTTCAAACTGATATCTTCACTAAGTAGGACAAGTTGTCCATCACTTTGGTTTTTCCTATACAGAAGAGCAAAGTTAAGGATGTGATCTTCTACAGTTGGTGAAGCAATTTCCATGCACTTAAGGTATGAAAGAGAAATCCAACTCTCTTCACTAAACTGAGTCTGAGGAGAAGCAGGTGGGGTTGGAGCAATTAGCCTTCCTTCATCTACCGAGCTCTGGATATTAATCCACCAGCTTGTCTTCACCGTACATTCTTCAATCCATTCCAATGCCAAAGAAGCCTCTGAAGTTCTTCTGAAGATTTTGAACTGTCGCATCATACTGTTCAGTTCTCTTATGACTGAAATTGCAGAGTGATAGCTGGACTTGTGAGAAACAGCTGTATTTCATTTATTTAAAAATAGTAAAGAATAAGGAAAATGATAGTTTAAAACACATTACCCAATCTTGGAATGATTAATCGAGTTCCCTTGAGACCTTGTAAAAGCTGCAGAGCTTTCCTTGATTCCTTGTTAACAAGAGAACTAGTATCCACAATCATGTCCCAGCCTGTCTTCTTTGGCACCCCACTAATATCCTGCAAATTAAGATAAATATAAGCATAAACTAAACACAGTTTATTGAATAACTTCAAACAAACAATGCATGATGTTTTCTTATGTAAACTTACAGATGGGTGGTTAATATGCTGGTCTAAACTTTGTCCACAATTACTGAAATGAAAGCTTTTGATAGCAGAAACAGGGTAACAAGTGTTTGATCTTCCCTTGCCTCCTGACCTATTTAGTAATTGGAAGGGTACCCTTTCCTCTCTGTCCTCAGATGTCACAGGATGTTGGTCCTGTGCCAAGTGGATATGGCTGCAAAAAGGCTTTCTTTGCAAGTTTTGATTCTCATCCCATGGAGACTTGGAATGTTTAATTTCTGCTACCTCACTCTTCTTTTTCAGAAGTCGCATTTGAAGGACATTTGGACTGAAATTTTCATTATCCAGAGTGAGGATGTCTTCTACCTCTTCTTTCCCAACGAAATCAGAGAAAAAATCCTTTGAGATTGTGCTATTTACCGTGTCCTTCTGGCTCAAATTACCGTAAGTGGGGTCTATGCTTTCTTTCCCATACATATCAGTGTTAAATGTACCCTTTGATAGGGGTGACATTTGAGTCTTTTCTTCCACCGTACCTTTATTTTTCAGGAGCCTCAATCTAAGGGTATTTGGACTGAAGTTTGCCTTATTAGGAGTGAAAATTTCTTCTTCCTCTTTCCCAGCCAAATCAGAGAAAAGATCCTCAGAGATAGTAGTATTTATGATATCCGTCTGGTGCATTCTGCACAAGCCTGTGCTTTCATTTGGATAGATCTCAGGATTAAATATATCCTTTGAAAGGGGTGACCTTTTTAACTTGGAACGTTTAATTTCTTCTACCTTGCCCTTCTTTTTCAGAAGCTGCAATTGAAGGGTATTAGGACTGAAGTTTTCCTTATCCGGAGTGAAGAATTCATCCTCTTTTTCCTCCTCTTTTTTCCCATCCAAAACAGAGAAAAGATCCTTTGAAATTGTTTTGTTTATGATATCCTTCTGGTTCATTTTGCATAAACGGGGGCCTATGCTTTGATCTGGATTATTCTCACTATTAGATGTATCCTTTGAAAGGGGTTGTGACCTCTGTGACCTGGAATGTTTAATTTCTTGTACTTTACCCTTCTTCAATGATAGCAACTGGAGGATATTTGGACTGAAGTTTTCTTTATCTGGTGTGAAGATTTCTTCTTCTACTTCTCCATCCAGAAGAGAGAAAAGATTCTTTGAGATTCTTCTATTTCTGACATCCTTCTCATTGCTCATCGCAACTTCAGCGTCACCATTGACTGCATTCTTAACTGTGCTCTTGCTAGTTCGAACCTGAGGAGCACTAGTAGCTTTACCTCTTCTTGACCAAATATTATAATTTGCTGAAGTTTTGTTCATTGCTTTTACATGACTTTCAAGGATTTCCATATCAGACTGGAGGGTCTGGTCCTCATTCATAATATTGAAAACTAATTCTTCTGTCATTGATAAATTGACTGACTCTATCTGATGGGGTGTGGGAGAGATGCTACCTGTGTACTTGTTTCTAACATCTTGAACTATTTCATTGAATGACTGTGATACATACATATCTCGCTTTTCTTCATCAGATGGAGAATCCATATCAACAGTCTCAACAATTTTGATTTGCTCAACATTGGTTTCAAGCACAGCTTCCTTGACTGGTAGAAGCATACCCTCTGAATCCAAATTTCCAGCTCCGGCAGTAAAAACATCCGTTATGCTTCCATCATCTCTGAGGGTCCACTCAGATTTAGATTCTTTAGGCATTGGTACATCAGCTGAACATTTCTTGTCAGGAGATGCAGGAACTGTAAAAGCATCTACATCATCTCTGTTTTTACATTGATATTCACATCCAGCTTTTTTAGGAGTTATTACATCTTCAGCTGCAATTTTCGTATCAAGAGATGAATGAGCTGTATTGAAAGGCGAGCTGGAATAACGTTTTTTTTCAAATGAATTTTCATGACCAGGTTCTAATGGTGAAGTAAATGTATCAGATAGAGTATATAATTGCAGCATTTTGGGATCCAAAACAGCTTCCACAGCTAGCAAACGTAAAGTGTGAGACAAATTTTCTGTCAGTATGTCATAATGTTGGACAAGTGATTCCACGTAAGGACGTGATAGAACCTGACTTACAAAGTCGCTCAAAATATTTTTACCATCAGATACTCCCAAGTCACTTGGGTTTCCAATTGCTTCCTCTTTTGATTGGCTGTTCTTTTCTTCCAGCATCCAAGGTGTGAAAGGAACCTCCTCTTTCACAGTTAGTTTCACATTCTCATCAAAGAATAAAGAACCTATATCCTCAACAATTGAATCCACTTCCATTTCAGCAGGACAGACATTCAACTTCTGCAGGTTCCAAAAGCAAAAATATAAAGATCATGTTATAATTACTTAAAGAAAACAGCAAAGCAAGCATGGTAAATAGTTCACAATCAACACCCACTTCAAACATAACTTACAATTGAATATAGAACACAAAGCAGACAAGGGACGTGAAAAGTTTTAGAAATTGTAATACATTATTAGACTAATATTAACACATATAGTTATATAAAACACAAGTCTTGAATCGAATCATAATAAAATATTGTAATATCATTATTTATGTTATTTAGTCATTGCAATATTATTATGTTTGCGCTTATATGACAATGAAAACAATTCTTTGAAAATAAATGTTAAAAGAACTACAAAATGCAGCTAGACATTAATACATGCCAACCTAAGGAGTGATATTTTTTGTCTGTGTTAGTAAAAATATTCTTTAGCAAACTGGGGGAGCCTAATGTCTAATCCCCTTCAAGATACAGAGATGAATAATGGATCATTTGAGAAGTAATAAATTATTGTGTCACTATTAAGGTGATAGCCTCATTATAAAATGAGCTAAGCAAAATAAATACATCAGCATCCGTTGTGTGATATTTGTACAGTTTAACAGATAACCATAACAGATATGTAAAGATTTTCTCATGTTAATTAATCACAGAAACAACCAAAGAAAATAAATAATTCAATAGAAAATAGCTATACTGCCATTCAATCATCACAATCACAATGCACAGTAAGTTTGTTATTTATTACAATCAGCAACTTAAAAGTCATATCAAACCCAATGTTTGATTTGCATACAGGAACAAAAATGCAAAATTACAGTGCAGTCATTAAACTTGCAATTCAAAATAAATTAAATAATAATAATAATAATAATAATAATAATAATAATAATAATAAAAATATCTCAAACACCTCGTGTGTGGCATTCAATTGTATAGTACCTGAATTTTCTCTTCTTCTTCATCCTCTTCGGCAACCGCATCCAATTGCGCGACGAATGGATTCTCCAAATCATAGGCGCGACTAATCGGAATCCAATGCAGACGATAAACCCTACTGGAAACACCGAGCCTGAGCGCGTCCCCCTCCCTCATCTCCTCGCTGACCATCGGCTCGATCCTCTTTCCCGACAACCACGTCCCATGCACTGCAATAACGTCATCAGCATCCCTCTTTCGTTCATTCATTCAACATGGAACCAATCAATGCAAAAGAAAGGAAAGAAGAGAGGAATTGAAGGGATTGGTTACCGGAAGACAAATCGACAATGGAGAAGGTACGAGAGGAAGGCTTGGAGCGGATCTGGAGGTGGAAGCGGCTGATGCTAGGATGCGTGAGCATGATGTCGCAGTCGGGATGCCGCCCCACGAGAAGAACATCGACGTGGTCGGCACGTGACGGCCTCTCCGGGGGCTTGTTAACGATGAAGATGTTCTTGAGGATTGTGTTGTTCTTGAGCACCGTCAGCACCGGAATTTCGCCCTCTTTGTCCTCGCCCTTCGCTCGCTTCTCTGAACCCATTCTCGAAGCTTCTTCTCTGGTTTTTGCTTATTCTTGCGAAATTTGGGTTTTGGAAGGACTGAGAGAGTGGGTGAGGTTTAACAAACGAAACAAAGAGAAAGAGGATTTGAATTATTAGAGAATGGTGACCGTTTTGCGACGAGGGGCAACGGCTACTTCTAGCTGGCTTTTAAATTCCTTTCTTATTGTGTCTATCAGGATTCTAGCATGCATACCAATTTTTAAGTTTATATTCCTTTATTATAATTATTCAAAAACAAAATATTTCACATCATTTTTAATAATATTTTTAATAAAATATTTAAATAAAATATTAATTATTCGAAACAACTTTTATTACAAGAATCTAAATTAACTTGTTCATTTTTTTAATATTTTGTTAAGTAACTGATAAAAATAATAATAAAAAAGAAAATAAATTATTTAATTTTTTTAACAAAATTTTTATAAAATATTTTTTAATATTTTTTTAAGTACCGATAAAAAGAATAAAAAAATAAAATGAAAGAGAAAATAAGTTATTTAATTTTTTTAACAAAATATTTATCAAAATAAAAATAATTATAAATGGTTTAAGAATAAAAATAAATTTATATTTAAAATATTTTTAAGATAAAAAATAATTCGCATGAATTCTTCTTATTAAAAATATCTTGTTTGTGTTTAAAAATATTATTATGATAAAAAGTTAAAAATTAAATGTAAAATATGGAAAATATTTAAAGAATTAAAAGTTAGGAAAAAATTTAAATCTAGAGGCAAAATTTATAATTTTTTTAATGAATTAAAACACATTGTAATTTTATTATAATTATTAAATAAAATAAAACTTTTTAAAATATTTTTAAGTTATTTTTCCCATTATTACATAAAATCATTTACCTTGAAAAAGACAAAAGTAAATTAAGAAGTTAAAGGTATTTTTAACTAGTTTACATTAATTGAAAATTTCTTAGTTATTTAATGTATAAAAATCTTTAATAAATAATTTTTTAAAAAATTAAGCAAGTGCAAGTTTTCAAATTGTGAAAAGCATAGTAAATGCGGATTTCTTTTTTTAAAAAAAAATGATTACATAGAATTCCTCATTGGGGATTTTCTGTATGCAGACTCAATTTAAGAGTTTAATATTCAATTAGTAGAATAGGATTTTGGGTTTTATTAAAGGGTGTCTGTAAAAATACTGTTTTTCGTGAGAATATATTAAAAATAAAAAAGTTATAGAAAATCTTATTTTTATATTTTACTAAAGAAATTATTTTTGCACACTACCATTTGGACATTGGTTATTATTGATATAAATTTTTAAGCATCACAAAATTCATGATATACAATAAATTTTGACTTAATTATATAATATAAACTCTCTTTTATTAGTTAAAATTTATTGAAAATTATAAAATTCTCGAAAAATCATCCCTGATACCAATAACATTTTAAAATTTCAATACCTTTTAATAAAGAATGGGTTAAATAATATGTTTTTAATATTTCTCTATATAAAATTTAAATTATCAATATATGTTATTTATTTTTAATTTAATCTCGTTTTTATGTTACTACTAGTTAGAAATTTTAATAAACAAATAAAAAAAAATTAACAAAATAAAAATTATGGAATTTAATATGACTAAGTATGTGAAATTTACATTATATATGTTTATTTTATATATAAAAAATTAAATATATAAATTATATTTAATTAAAATTTATATATATATATATATATATATATATATATATATATATATATATATATATATATATATATTATCGAGTCGTATCCTAGGTCAAATAATGTGATTAAATGTAGTACTAGGCACTTCTTCCTAGGTCGTCTCCCAAAGACTATGAAGTTCTATCAAAGACTTATCAGTTTTCGAAATGAAACAAAAAACGGGAGGTGGGGGAAGTTTTTGTTAATTATCAGATTAAATGAAACAAAACAAAACAGATTGCTTAGGCCCTAGAACAGAATGCATCTCTGATGTTTTTGGTTCATAACATAAAATCTATCCAACTTAATCTTTCCTTACACGAATTAAGCAAACAATGTATGTTATCGATTCTCCCCACAAGATTAAGCAACTCATGGTACGGGATACAATAAATCCGAATTCATTAAGCATGACTTACGTTTAATTATCCAGTGTAGAGAATCAACTACAAGGAACTAAACTGGACATTAAGTGCAGAGAATCTCTCAATAGAGATTACAATCCTTCAAGGGCCCAACCCTCCGGGTTTAGCTATTCATTAACACAAAATTACAACAGCAATGGAAACACCAGAATAACAGGATATTAAAAACGAAAATGAAATGCAGAAAATGAATTGCAGCAGAATTTGAAATACGAAACTGAAACTGAGACTGAAACTAAACTACAGAAACGAAAATGTAATAGAAGTGGAAAATGTAAAATGGCAATGGCAGCAATAAACGAAAATGAATTGTATTAATCTATCAATGAGTCTGGAACAGTCAAAACAAAGTGCAGGAAAAACCAAGATAAAATAGTAAGTAAAACCCTACCATTCTACTACGTCCCCCCATTCCCCCCTATGCATGGGCACTTTAACCTAGATCATTCTGCCCCCACAAGACCAACATGGCCTAAAACAAATCTGACCCAAAAACAATACAAAATAATGATAATAAAAAAACAAAAATGACAACAATGGACAAGTGACATGGCAGGACCTCTTCAAGTCCAAAAATTAAATTCTAAACCCAATGAAACCTGCAATTAATTAATAAACAGAATTATCAGTCTAATGAAGCCTAATAATTGAAAATGCAATGATAATAGATAATTAAGTACAATGCAACAATTAAGATAAGTACAGAAAGGTAAGAAAATGCGGGAAAATAATGGCTCATCAAATTCTCCCACACTTAGCCTTTTGCACTCTTGGGCAGAATCATGAAATGAAGCAGAGTAAGGAAACAAATCCAGAGACATCAAAATGGTTCATGCAAAAAGGAAGAAAACAAAATCAAAAGCAAACATAACCCTAAACACAAACATATTTACATGCTCCTAAACAGAACTTGGGAAACGAAAGGAATATATAAATCCAATCACTCAAAGAGTAAAAGAAACCAGATACCTATGGGAATCATCCAATCATTCAAAACATGGCAAGAAAATCAATTAGCTCAAGAGGTGAATCAAAACAACAGAACCTCACATGATATGCATTATATTACTATATCTCTCAAGTGTCTAGGTTACTGTATATATACTCTCAAAATGCTCATAGAAAGCAAACAACAGATAGTCTTGGCAAGCCTCTGAAATCAATGCCTAAATACACATGCACAAAAGGATCAAAAGGTCTTTCTAGGTTGTAGTGGGGCCAAGTGTTGAATATACAAGGATATGAAGCTTGTAGATTTTGATGATGATTCAAGAACAAATAACTTAGAGATTTGAAGACTTGTAATCGTATGTAATAACTCTGTTTTTATGTTTTTGAGTCTGTAATATTAGAGTCCAAGATAGTCAGCACATAGACAATCCTTTAAAAGCTCTAAAAACTCATTTTTATCAAAATTACACTATGATAATCGATTATCACCCTGGATAATCGATTATTATAGCAAGAAAATCATTTTCAGGAAAAACTCTCTGTGATAATCGATTATCACTCAGGATAATCGATTATCATAGGCAAATAATCGATTATTTGGCCAGATAATTGATTATCCTGGTCCAGTTTTGTTCCCCTGCGAAAATGACTCTTGAATAATCGATTATTGTAGACCCCAAATCTTGCCCAACTTCAAAATAAGAACAGAAGACCTCCTATTCGAAGATGGACGAAGCCTAAGAAGCCACTAGGAGATACTATTAGGCCCTATATTAGGATAGGAAGGATTTTCTGTATAAAAATAAGGATTTTTGCCTTCAGGGGTCAAGACCGCCATCTCGCTTTTCGGGACCGCCGTCTCGCCATTACTACAAGTTGAGACCGCCGTCTTGTTTGGCGAGACGGCCGTCTTGCCACTTGCCAATGGCGAGACCCCCTCCCGTTTGACGAGAAGGCCCTCTCGTCTCTAGGAAAGTCGAGACGGTCGTCCCGAATGGCGAGACGGCCATCTCGACCTGATAGGCGCGAATCCCTATAAATAGTGAGCGCTCCCCCCCCTCATTTCACACCGTTCTTCCACTTTCCCTTCTACACTTTCTTCAAATTCTCTTCCTAGAGTCCCTCCGAAGCATTTTCGGAGTTTCTGAGAGTCTTAGAGAGCTTTTTATAGTGTTTCAAGAGAGTTTTCGGCGTTGTAAGAGCGAAGGGCTGCCAAAATGCACCTTATTTTTCAAGAGTATTGATCAAAAGCTTGCCTCGGAGGTTTCTTCATTCTCTCCCTCTCTTTTACTGTCTTTATTTTCATGATTAAATTGTGTAATAGACATTAGGGTCATGTAGTCCTTATTTTAATTCCACAAATAAAAGGGTAAAAACGTCTTTTTAAAAGTTTATTTATAAAATAGCTGGCCTATCATAGGGAACCCGAAAGGGGCGTCGTAAGGGAACTAACACTTCCCTTACACGTAACTAACTCCCTTACCCAACTCTGGTTTTAAAGACCAAAGTTGGTTTTTCGAAAAACCAACGCCTTTTTCCTCTTTTTTTGATGTTTTCGGTAAAAACATCAGTGGCGACTCCATAAGAACCCCTTCAAATTAGTTCTTAGGTTAGCCCGGTTATAGGACAACCTAAGAACACCTTTTCAAAAAACCTCGCCCTCAAGTTCAGCCCGGTTATCGAACAACCTAAAGGAGTTGTAACCACACCCATAAAAATGCGAAAAATGGAAAAGTCAGAACCATCGCGTCGCTCCGACCGCCTCTTTTTGACGGCGGCGACAGATGGCGACTCCGCTGGGGAAGCTTAGAGAGTTGATCCCATTTAGTGATGGGTCAGCTTAATAAATAAACTAAGAAATTATGCTTTTACCCTACCTTATATTATAACATGTTTTAAATGCTTGG